CAATGCCTTCCCTACTTAATTTTACTATTTTATTTTCAATTAATTTCATATTCTTTTATCTTTCACCTTTCTCAATATTTCTAAACGCAACTTCACAGTACATTACATTTAACCACCACTTTCTTTTTATCATAAATTTATTTTTTTAATCTTTATCTTTTTTATTTCTTTATTATTTTCTTCTTCATCTAATATCTTATTTCATCTTTCACCATTTTTTTAATATTACCTATTGTTAACTCTTTATAATAATCTCATTCTGCAATTTTCATAAATACATTTTCATATAAAATCTTCTCAATTCATTTCAAACACATTCAAAAATAAATTGTGAAATATTAATATACTATATAAAACTAATATTTTATAATTTATTATTTTTTTGAATACTTCTCAGTTTTTTCTTATTCAATTTTTACTAAATAATTTCTCATTTTCTTTTTATTCTTATTCATTCTACATGCTGTTACTAGTTTACAGATTTTCTCATATATCAGTTTAATTTCTAAAATAATATCGTAAATGCCTAAAATTTTATTCCACTCCTTCAAAATATATGAATTGTTTCCTTAAATTATGAGATTTGCATCCTTCTTAGATAAATTTCAATTTTAACATTGTGAATACTCACCAAAATTTTTAAAAAATTTTAAAAATGAGATTAATATCATTAATTTTTCAAGACAAATTCGGTTTCCTCTAATTTTTTTGGAGTTTTTCGAAAACAATTTTTATTTTTCTCGTCAAATAAAGGAAATAGAACAAAATTAAATAATGAAACAAAGATCATATATTATGTTCTTTTATTATCAACTAAGGAATTGAAGTATAACATCCAATTATAATTAAATTTCAGAAAAAGTAAAGAAATCTGAAAAAAATAGTAATGAAAAAACTCCTCTTAATAGTGCAGATCACTATTATATAACTTATAAAATTTTGACAATCATATGCCTCCTCGTACTTTTCATTTTTCTCAGCCTCAGACCGATGAATTGAATGGAGCAGCTATCATATATCAAAAAGATGCTACAAATAAGCATGAATTTCTGAATCAATTTTTAAATTTACACTTTCCAAATTATTCAAAAAATTTAAGAAAGCACGTAAGTTAGTATCCCTATGTGGTGTACTGTGGCATTGCGCGCCTCCGTACACGACTTAACGGTTTTGATACTTTACGAAACCATTAACGTATATATTTTTACAACACAACCGTAAACACCAACTTAACCTTAAATATTTACAAAACTATCTGACACATAAACGACTTCACTAACGACTTCACTAATGATTTTACTAACGACTTCACTACCGTCCTCACTAAATAAAAATAACCTTATTTTTATTTTTTTAAATTTTTTATTTCATTACAAAGACATGTCTGACTACATTTACTATGACTCTTTCCCAGAACGTTTCCGTGAACTATTCAAAACTCAAGTAAAACTGAGAAACATGCATTTTAACAAAGACAGACCCATTGACGATGAAAGAAACCCTGAATATATTACAATCCCTTATGATGCAAAGTTCATTGCATACATTCCTTATGGTCGCAGAGGAACGAAAACTATTTCAACAATGACGAAAAATTATTTCTGGAGCGATGAAGAAAATTGCCTTATCTACATAAATGCATACTTAAATAAAGCTACATATTGTACAAAAGAAGGTTGGACTGGATTTGAGCTCTACATATACGACGACGATGGAAACAGACGTTGTGTATACCCATACGATAATATGTACCATTGTTTTCATCAAGCATTAAACGAATACATAGTCAGTAAGGGTCTCATTCCTGCTGAGTAGAAATGTTATATTTTTGTTCTGTCATTTATATAAAAATAAACGTTCTCGCTAAATAATAAAATAAACTTAAAAATAAACGTTGTCAGAGGTGAAAAATATATTTTAGGTGAAGAGGTGAGATGTCACCCGTTTTTTCACCTCTTTTTTCACCCACTTGAATTCATTACTTTATAACTCTCTTCCTTGGTTTCTTTTTAGTTGCTTTCTTCACGTCTGTCTCCAGCTTGACTGTCTTTCTTCTTCGTCCGTAATGATACCAGTTACTTCCACCAGTCAATGGGTCAAATGGTCTTTCGTAAGGATTTCCATACATTCCATAGGGACCATACGGAAGAACTACTGGTGGAGGAAGAGTTCCATCGACTCTATTTAAATGCATTGTTTCACCTTTCATCTGGTCATTAAAGTCTTTTGCATGTTTTGCAAACTCATCGTCCTTTCCTAAAGCATTTTCTGACTCAGTCGCAACCAAATTGGATGCTTTATTTATGAGCCCTATTTTATTTAATCTTAACTTCTTTGCAACCCAGCCTCCAATCTTCCCTTTATTTGCATCTAATGTCTTCGAAACCCTCCTCCATTTTTATTTACTGCGTCATAAGCCCCAAGTGCTTTTGCTCCAAATGCTAATGCTTTTGTTCCCATTGCGCCTAAAGCTGTCCAAGCTACCATTTACACCATATTAAAATCATCTCTCTTCAATATTATCTCATAAAAGTTCTCGTTACTGGAGAAAGTCAATGAAACATAAACATTCTCATTCATAAACTTCTTATCTCATCTATACGCTTCAAAATGTCTGCTAACATCTTCTACAACAGTTATTTCATCATGAATGACCTTCAAGAACAAGCTCATTTAATATGCTATTAAAATCATCTCAATAATGAGCCCATCTTTTCCATCTTTAGGTAGCACAACATCTTTCATTGAAGAAGGTTCGACAAGTCTTATGTTAAACTTACTGACAAAGTTTGTTATACTATAATGCTTCGGTGGCGAATACATGTAGTTTGAAAGACATAATATAGATTCTTCAGCAAATTCACTTATACTGGATTTTATAACAATGTTCTCACGAGACCAAATACCACCAATTGACAATCTTGTAAGCAATCCTGCTGAACCTTCTACTGTAAACGTCGATGGTAACATTCCACGAAGGTCATCTATTGACATCGTTGAGTCACTGAATTTAAATATTTTCTTAAAGCAATCGTCATTATCTAACCATGCAATAGCTTTGAAGTTTTCATTCGAATATACATCTGCTTCATTAAATGTAAAACCTGACTTCTTTGCAGAGACGATTTTAAAATCTATTGAGTTTGTTTCAAAATTATACGCTATGGTAACTTCTGAAGGTAATGGATGTCCTTCCGCAGTCAGTTGTTCTCTCACTACCGTTTGAAGCTTTGTGTTAAAAACTTTCATGTCATCTCCTGTATCTAAGTTCACATACACAGCAACAGGAAAACTATCTTGCTTCTTTGTTTCATCATTATACCTCAAAACATTAAAGTTCTTCAATAATATTGTTCTTCCTGCTGGAATACTTCTAACTTGTCTTATTTCAATAGCTTTCTCACCTCCTACATACTCTACCCAGTGTCTTGGATATTCATAAGTATACTGACTTTCTTGAATTTTGGTTGGTTTCATCATAATCATAGTATATCTTTATACTCTTGTCAGTTAGACTCGGTGCTATGTTCTGAATATTTCTGACTTGCATTTTTAATGAAGATAAAATGAAGCATTTAATACATGACGTAGATGAAGACATGAATGAAAGCAGTGAAAAGCTCAACAGTTCTCTCATTCTTCCTTTCAGTAAGGACTATGAGTTCTGTTCAAATGTTTATTTCTATTGTGGAAAGATGGGTTCAGGTAAGACATTTAACCTCATTCGTCATATACTCATAACAGAGCGTTTAGGAAACGACTCTTACTATGACCAAATCATTATATCAGCAACTTCAGACTCTATGGACTCAACAGCGAAAACATTTATGTCAAAAGTTCAAGCCTCTGTCGTTAAAGTTCCAGATAGCGAACTCATTGAATTTCTTCAACGTTACATTCGACGTAAGAGAAAATATTATGCTATTGTAGAGTTCATACAGTCAGGAATGCAAAAGACTTCAGAAGAGATGGAAAGAATTATTGACAAACACCACTTACGTCAATACTCAGGAGTTTACGATATGAAACGACTGACAAACTACATTCTATCAAAACTTTCAAAATACCCCTTCAAAAAGTATCCTTCAAACACTCTGCTCGTTTGTGACGACTTCGCCGGAAAAGGTTTAGTGTCAAAGCCTGACTCACCATTAGCTAACATCATTACTAAAGTCAGACATTACCACTTAACTGTAGCAATACTTATGCAAACATGGAGGTTTTTAGCTTTAAACATAAAACGTCTCATAACTGACTTCGTTATCTTTCAAGGTTTCTCACGCTATGATATTGAACTCATTTGGAAACAGTCAGGTATAACATTACCTTTTGAAGAAATTTGGGAAGCATATAAGTCTCTCATCTCTCCTCGTTCATACCTTGAGATTCATATCATGACTAATACCATTAAAGTCAAAAATATTCCATGGGAACGACCAACATTGTTTTAAAGTTTAACCTTCAATTGACTGATGGTAAACAAATTCCATGCATCTCTGTCGCCATTTCTGTTAATATTTTTGCTGTCATTCATATCATCCACTTCCCCATCCGTTAACTTTTGAGGATATGTGTTAGAATAGCTGTTCTTAAATGAAGGCTTTTCACCTTTGAGAGCATAAACTCTATAACTTTCTGCATACTTTATGTTTGAACCTCCTGAGCCATCATTGACATAAATTTTTATAGGTTTCCACCCTTTGTTCATATTCCTGCTTCTTCCCTTTGCTCTTTTGTTCAGTAGTTCTACATCTTTATACACAGCTCCTGTCTCAGTGAATTCAACAATATTTTCATTCGTTAGCTTTACATTCAAACCCTTGTCGAGTATATTGTTCATTTCATACATATAAAAGGTTTTTATTCTATATGAAATGAGAAGCAAATCCATCTTAGCTGGTGCCGTTAATGTTCCAATTGAACCAACATCAAATGTTGACTCACGAACGACAAACAATATTGTCATAAAGAACTATAGTTCAGAGTGTTTGAAAGAGCCAGAACCAGAGCTGAAATCCGTGAATTTAAACACAGCTTCAAACGCTAACGCTACATCAGATGTTAAGTTAGAGTATCCACCACTGGACCAAATTCTTTCAAGAGAAGCCAACGACAACCCTTACACAAATGTTCAAACAAATCCTTCAGATAACGTAGACCATTACCTTCTTCAGTTATACCAAATAATTTTACTCAAAGACGATAAGAAGCTTTTGACAAATCTTATAAGTAAGAACCAAATAATTCTAACAAAGGAGGACCTTGAAAATGTTATCTCACGAATAACAGGGAAACAATGTGTCATTGACTATCTCGACCCTGAAATCGAATGCTGTGGTCAAACGCCACCATTCATGAAAATAGGTAACATCCGCATCATTGAAATACCAGGTACTCCAGGAGTTGAGTTTAAGTATAAATATTCGAACGAGTATACAAAACTTTCAACAGAATATAAATTATGTTTGAAATATGTTTTAGTAAATTAAAGCAACTTATAGTATCTATCCAAAACTTCTTCAACAGTATCGAACTCATCTTCATAATGCAAACCTAATCTTATTGACTTGGTGCAGTTTTCACTAACACAATATAGCGCTTTGCGCTCGGCGCCTTTGACGCCTTTTTCTGTTCTCTTGACTGACATAACTAACTCATTTGTTTCATCAAACAGCAACAACCAAAGTTCATGACCTAATACATAACATTCATACTTTATATTTTTAGCTCTGAGTTCTCTTGTAAGCTGTTGCATTTAATATTTTCTAAAAAGTCAACTTCAACAGTCATTCGCACTGGTGCCTTCAGTTCTACAGGCTCGCCCTGAAAGTCAACAAGTCTGAATTGCATGTCTTTCAAATTATGAGGACTAATGCGAACCCATTTACCTAAATGAGTTGCTATGACAGGAACGTTTGGAATGAACATTGAATTGACTGCATAACAGAAGGATTATATTCTACTGAACCTTTACTATTAACTCCTGAAATACCTGTGACATTAGCTATTTTAGACTCAATGTACAAACAATTACCATAACATACGTATGGAACAGATTTCATCTCAATCGTTTTGTCAACACTTTTCAAAGGAAATGTCATATGGTATGCTCCCAAAGAATTGAACTCTATGACTCATTCTTGTATCTTAAACTCCTTCGCATAACTGAACTTCAAAACTCCTGCAATAAGTTTAACATTCATTAAGTTTTCTTCGTTCTCCTTGTTTATTGTAGTATTTATGAGCGCATTTAACACTCCAGCTAATGTTTCCATCTTATATTCTACATTATTGTGAAATCTTATTTCATGCTTCTTTCCATCTATTTCAAGCTCCATGAAATCTGTTTCATCTGTTATAACAAAAGCGATAGTATTGAAGTCAACACTCTGAAAGCAAGTGGCTTCATTCTGAAGACCTAAGTTTGTTTGTAGCTTTACTGTCCCGTATTCGTTTGGGTCTGTACTTTGCAAATAGAACAACATTTTATTCTCATTAAAATATGACTATTGCTGCATATGCGTATGAAACAAATGAAGCAAGAAGAGCACATGAACTAGTAAACGAAAACTCAACTTTAACCATTGAAGGCAATGATTTAGTCATTGACGATGGAAAAACTAAAAAAGTCATTGATTTCGATACTTTTAACACTTATGACCCATTCATTACAATAAGTAAAGTTCCTATCATAAATGATGGAACGGTGCAATATATAAATTCTACAGTAGATGCCTCATTAGTGAAAGTATTAAATGTTCTCATTGAATTGTTAAAGAGCTTTCGATTTGACGACAACATTAAATGCCTAAAGAATTTAGTCATGAATGAGAAACAAATTCTCGGCGTTGCTGGTAGCAGTAATGATGTACACCTTATGACATTAGAATATTATAACGAACATAAAGATGAACTGAAAGGAGAGAAGGGTGACACCGGACCACAAGGAATACAAGGACCTCAAGGAATACAAGGACCTCAAGGAATACAAGGAATACAAGGACCTCAAGGCGAAAACGGTTTGGATGGAAAGGATGGAAAGGATGGAAAAACTGCTAAATCATGGATATGGGACCTTATAAATACTGGTTTAACAGCTGCTTCATATGGAGTTCTTCAATACCAAATCGGAAAGATATGGGCGGTACTTGGTGAAGAAGCTTTAAATGACGTTAAAAATGCTTTGAACTTCATTTCAAATGGTTCGGATACTATTAAAACTTTATCTGGTTGGATGCAAGAAACAAGGAGTCAAATAGATACTGTAAGACGTATAGCAAACAATGCACGTACGGGATTGGATACTTTACGACAAGCACAAAATACACTAAAGGAAGCAAATGATATTCTTGGCTCAGTATCAGACATGCATGAAGATTGGCTTAAAGGTATTGACAAATCTTTAAAAAATCACAGTCAGTCTATTGCTGACTACAAGAAAAGTATAGATTTTTTACATAGTGCTATGGACGTACATGATGGAAGCATAAGGAACTTACTTAATGCTAACAATAACTTACCAGGAACTATTAAAGCATTTATAAAGTCCTTTGTAAAACCCGGTGCTCTAACATTTAGGTCTTTGAGAGCAAGAGCATTGAAGTCAAGAGATGCAGAAACTCCAACAGAAACTCCAGAAGGAACTGAAACAACAGAAACTCCAGAAGAACCACCAAAACCAACAGCTAATGAAATATTGTTCGAATATTTTCCAAGGTACTCTGTTCTCATTGCATACATTCAAGAAATACTTAAGAAAGCAGACTTGACTTTAGGAGATGATGAAAGTTCTGTATATCTTTCGTTCCAATTCCAAATAGCAGAACTTTTGAGACAGATATGCTTAATGTATGACAACATCTCTGATTTCACAAGATATGATGACGACCATGACCCCGAACACGGTGAAGAAGAAGTTTTACAAACATCCATTAAGACAGGAAAGGTTTTAACTCAAAGTCTCATTATTGACACCAAAGATGGCGAAGTGGACGTTCTTCAAGAGCTGAAGAAAAATACTTCTTCGGGAGGTGGTGGTAGGCATGAACTTGAAATAAATGAGATAGAAGAGAAATTAGCCGAAAAAGCAGATAAAGAACATAAACACAATATCTCCGATATAAATGAACTTCAAGCTACATTAAATAGTAAAGCGGACAAAAATGAACTTGACGCAACGAACAAAGTTTTGAAATCTCATAAACACAATATCTCCGATATAAATGAACTTCAAGCTACATTAAATAGTAAAGCGGACAAGAACCATGTTCATTATATAAGTTCTGATGAACAGATTATAACGGACTATCATGGATATTTAACACAGGGTGAAAAAGTGAATACGAAAAATGTTAATGAAAGAAGATATAAATTCATTCGTGCTAAAGGTTATGACATACACTGTACTGTACAGTATGACACAGGTATAGCACCACAATCATTTGGTTATAACGCTGAAATTTATGCTTCATACTTCTTTGTTAACGGTGTATTAGTTGAACCAAGATTTATGTTAAGAGTTAAGGCAAAAATAACGTTTGAAGATGCTATTAAAAGTAAAGCGGACAAAAATGAACTTGACGCAATGAACAAAGTTTTGAAATCTCATAAACACAACATCTCCGATATAAATGAACTTCAAACTTCTTTAGACAGTAAAGCTGACAAGAACCATACACATAAATCCTTCACTACTGTTAGAGCAGACGACATAATATTGAACTATGATTTGGGTTCAAGTGCACCTTTAGAGAATCCGAGTACAAGCGTAAAAGATACACTAAACTCCTTAAATAACAAATGTATGAATATCGAAGGTCATGTCAGAAACTTTGAAACACATGAACTACCAGCAATGTTAGACAGTAAAGCCGACAAAACTTATGTGGATACAGAACTAACAAAGAAATTTTCGAAACCAGATACAATGACATTTACAACAGAAATTATAAATGGTGAACCAGCAACTCCATTTGAATTTGTTAGAGGTCTTCAACCAGATACTTTTGAATTTTTCTTGGATAATTCTATTGAACTAACATTACATTATAAAAGTGGAACAAATGCAACATTTCATCCGGGAGATACATTCCAAATGGTATTTAATGACATAAGTTCTTTAGAATATGTTTATAGAGTTATGAGCATATATGATTTAATATATCCTATAGGAGCTGTTTATACGTCTATGAATCCAATAAATCCAAACACTTTATTTGGTGGTAGATGGTATGAAATAGTTGACAGTTTTCCATTCTACACTAATACGCAGTCAATGAAGATGGGAGGTTCAAAGAAAATAGGTATTGAAAACCTTCCTTCACATATGCATAGATTCAGTGGAAGAACATCTGTGGAAGGAAACCATTCACATTCAATAACAAAAAGAGGTTATACAAATCTTGCAGCGGGTTCGGATAGACAGGGAATGCATAGATATGATATCTCAATGACCCCAAAGATGTTAGCACAGGTATTTTCTGTGGAACTGCAGGAAATCATACACATGTTGTAGCTGGTATTACAGACCCAGCAGGTAATGGAAAAGATTATATGCCTCCTTATATAACAATGCACGCTTGGATACGAGTTGGTTAAAATCTTTAACTTTACATAAATGAGCTTGAAAGAAGTATTCGAACAACATCCATGGAGGTCTTTTAAGAAATTCAATGAAGCTGCAAAGAGTTCGGGATTTACTAACAGAGCTGAAGTGAAAAGGTTCTTTGACAAAAATGTTGTACATCAAACAAAAATAAATCCTTACGACTACTTTTTACCAATTTACTCCAACACTCCTGACGCATACCAATTTGACACTCTCATTCAAAGCAGAAAAGGAGGACATAAACCATTCCTCATCTTCATTAATGTTAACACTCGCAAAGCTTTTGCGTATATAATGAAAAATAAAGGAACTCGTGAAGTGTTAAGAGTTTTACAAAAGTTTGTAGCAGAACATAGCCCAAGTATTTTAACATCAGACCAAGACGGCATCAGCAATGAAATACTCAGCACAAATAACAGATTTCTCATTAAGCATAACATAACTCACTACACTACTGAAGACCATAACCATAACATACTCGGTATCATTAACCGCTTCATAAGGACTCTCAGAGATTTAAATCAAGAGCGAGACTTTACCGAAGAAACAATGAAACATTTCATCGAAGTTTACAATTCCTCAACACATTCTACAACAGGACATACACCAAATTCAATGACACAACAACAAGAAGAAAAGTATATACAAAAGAAACGAAGCCAAACACAAAATATCAGAAATTCAACACAATTTACCCTCATTCCTGGTACAAAAGTTCGTGTAGTTCTTGACGACAAACCGTTGACAAAGAAACGTTTAAGGTTAAGTCGAAATTATTATATCGTAGACTCTACGCAAGGTAATGGATATCTTATAAAAGCTGCTGACGACTCTATTGCGTTTTATCCTCGACATAAATTAGTTGAAAGTAGTAATGGCAAA